GTCGGGGGGGGGGGTCGAGAGGCTCGGGGATAAGCCACCTCCGTTTTGGTCACGGGAACAAGTGCACATCGCTGTTGGTGCAAAATCTGTAGCTGCTGCTCCTTCACGGGGAGAGCTGGCGTTGTCCTTAGCCGGTCTTGGTCTCTGGGTCTGAGCTATTAAGGGGCTTCGGCTTTCTTGGCCAAGCTTAGTCTCTCTCACATACGCCAATGGGGGCAAAGCAAAACAACGGTTTTACTGCGTTTGTTCTCACCTTTCCTTTAAAAGAGCGATGCCCACGGTTTTCTGCCCCTCGCTTTTATCCTCACAACTACTAGGCTGAGGTTATAAGGCTACTGAAAATGAATGGCTGGCTTGAGGTGAGCCAGTCATGGCTGAGAACCCGGATCTTCTAAAAACTCTAGCCACTGCACCGGTCTCTCTCTTCTCCCGTCCCAGTTAATAGCACCTGTGGAGAATCTTAGAAGGGGCGTGAGAGAACACCCCTCCCCCCCCCTCGCTACTTTGAAGGATCTCCTGCGGCAGGTCTGAACAATCGGGAGCTGTTCCAGTGTGTCCACTGTCTGGCATTCCAGGCTCCTCAGAAGCTACATTAGAACATGAGAAGCCAGACCATGTGGAGTAGATGCTGGCTCACTCTGCTTTGGCAGTTGCGTGGTGTGAGAGGTAAACATTCTTCTGGTGCAGATTTTCCTGGCACGGGTGTGGAAACTGCACCAAATGAATATCTGTTGTGAAGCTGGGAAATGGTCTCTTGGAAGAATGGGCCAGCCGGGCAGAGAGTTGTTTTTAAAAGCTGTTTTTAGTTCAGATGTCAGTACAATTATATCCTTTGGAAAAAGTGCCACAAGCACCTGCTTTTTGTTGTTTAACATGATTCCTCACAGACCAACTGCCTGAATGGAGAAACTACTCTTGCTTGAGAGTGCAAAGTACAGATTGCGTGTCTGGGCTGTGGTGCTTGAACCAGGGTCAGCTTTTCTGTACACTATATGGGTCAGGGATGGCTTGTGTAGATCCTTTCCCTGGATGTATGGGGTGAGGGTTTTTTATTTTTGTATTTTTCATATGTGTGTGTGTGTATGTGCACCTGGAAGTCATGTCAACCTCTGGAGGCCTGGAGGATATTCACAGAGGTGGCTGTTTAAAGCCTGACCCTGCCCTCTTCCCTTTGGTATTTCAAGAAGGTCTCCCATCCAAGTACTTGTCAGAGTCGACTTTGCTTAGCTTCTGAGATCTGATGGGATCGGGCTTGCCTGGGCTATCCAGGTCATGGTGGGGTGAGTTCTTTTTGACTGCTAGCACAGGGGGATCGCATTAGCACAATGCTTGGTGTTGTGACGGACAGATCACTTGGCTGTGTGTGCGCGCATATTTATCCGTGCATGCACTGAATGAGAAGAGTGTGCTGGGCTTGGAGGTACTATAAGGCCAACTGAATTGTGCTCAGAATCAGCGTTGTGTAGTGGTTCAAGCAGGATTTGGGAGACCCACGTTCAAATTCCAGCTCTGTCATGGAAGCCTGGTCTGGTTGCACACTCAGCCTGACTTAACTTGCTGGGTTGTTGTGAAGATAAAATGGAGAAAGTGATGATGTTGTAAGCGACTTTGGGTCCCAACTGGGAAGAAAAATAGGGTATACATGAAATTAAGTAAAATCTTTAAACAGATCGGTTGCTCTCTTCTTGCATCTCTCCCTTACAGGCCAGTATGGTGCATTCCTTGATCAAATCATACTCCCTACTTGATTACATGAGGTATGTGGAAGCAGTACAGCTTACTGGGGGCCTGCTAGATCTGAGCTGTTTGAAAATTATGGAAGCTTCTACCAGTTGCTGTGGGGTTTTGGTCTTTGAGTTTTCTATTTTCTGAATGCTACCATTATGGGTAACATAATTTGGGTAATTCACAGTTTAGTAATATGTGATAAGGTTTAATGTGGTCAAAATTAAGTGTGATGTCAACTTAGAGCCAAAAAGCTTGTATGTAGATAGGGCAACAGAAGGAAGCATCCTCTGACTAGATGCTGAGAGGGTCTTAGTGCCCCACCATGCATGTGTCCTGTTTTCTTGGCCTGAGCCTTGTTCCAGCCTGCTTCTTTCCATGCCGGTTGTGATGCAAGCAGTGAGTTTTGCTTCTCTGCCTCCTCCTTGGTTTTCCTAGGATAGTCCGGCCCAAGGTGGCCTCCATGGAAGAGATGGCAAGCTTCCATACGGATGCCTACCTACAGCATCTGCAGAAGGTCAGCGAGGAGGGTGACGATGACCATCCAGAATCTGTGGATTATGGCCTAGGTGAGGAGCTCATGGCCTAGGTGAGTCCCACACCAGAAGGCAGGACAGTGCATCCAAGTGGAAGGGTTCTGGGCAGTCAGTGTGCTGGGGACCCAGTTACACCAGGGGCCCCTTCGTGCCTCACTATAGCCCTGCACCCATGATCTCTGCAGGTTATGACTGCCCTGCCACGGAAGGGATCTTTGACTATGCAGCTGCCGTGGGAGGAGCCACCATTACAGCAGCCGAGTGTCTGGTGGACGGCAAGTGCAAGGTAGCAATCAACTGGCCTGGAGGGTGGCATCATGCCAAGAAGTAAGGAAGCACCTTCTTCTCTCATCTTTTCTAGCAGGTGTCTGCATTATGCCCATCAGCCTGTAACAGTTCCCCCAAAAGTGTAGCAGAAGAAGAAATGTAGCGCAGCGGTAGGGAGAGTTGCATTGTTATGTGTTTTTGGAGTGGGAAAGGAGGTTACCTGGATGGCAGAATGAGCAGCAGCTGTGGCATGAGCATACCGAGCTTCTAAGAAGAGGCAGCTGAGGCCTAGCTTGCTGCAGTTGTTCCTGAGCCCCCTTTGGCCCAGATTACCTGCTTCAGAAGCTGGGAATGTCCATCTTGCCTGTCAGAGTGGGCAACTTGCTCCCTAGACACGTCTTTCCATGTGCTGGTTAGCTGCCGATTCATCTTTTTTACTCTGCGTAAGATAACGTATTTATCCTGTGATGTTTCCTTTTTCAAAAGGGTAATTTTTCTCTAAGAAGAGCTGTCTTCTGTCTACCCAGAAATGACAGAGAGGTTGGGTTCATCAGCTGTGCAGCATTAATTTGGCAGCTGCTAATAGGTCCACCTCTCACCAGTGATGTTTTGCTCGCAGAGATGAAGCTTCTGGCTTCTGTTACTTGAATGATGCTGTTCTGGGCATCCTACGGCTGCGGCAGAAATTTGACCGTGTCCTCTATGTGGACCTGGATTTGCATCATGGGGATGGTAAGGACCCGCCTGACACTGATATTTTTTGTTGCCTTCATCGCCCCTCAATTCTTATGAGAAAAGCCTTCTTGAAATGAGGTGGGATGAATCAGCGTTCTTATGGCCCAATAGAGAACTTGAGGGCTGCCACTCCCACCCCCCACCCCCCATCCTCCCAGTACATTAAGGGGACTTTGGTTCATGTCTTTGGACTATTTTACCCTAGTCAGTGAGGGCATTCATTGGGTAAAGGGCTTTTCTCTCTTAGCTGGTTGTACATAGTGTAGCAAAGTCCACATAGCTATGTAGAGCATACCATTTAAAGAATGGGGCGTCCGTTGTCCCCTTCTTGGTTCAGGTGTGAGTTTGGGTTGCAGCTCCAAGGGAACCTTGTCTCAACTTTGAACAAATCCAGTTGTTGCCTGGCAGAAAAGAGGCCTCATTTATACCCAGTTTCACACTTTCTGCTCCTCTGACTTTTATGGTGTGTTTCATTTTTTGGTACATTTCTCCCCTTGTCACCTCTTATTTTCTGTTTGGTTTGTGCTATGGTGTCTGGGAAACTCCTCCATACTCCCCACAGTTTAATGTATATTAAAGTTGTCTTAATTTATGGTGCTATGGGAATGGGCTGCCCAATTCTGGGGGTAGCAGTTGCACAAGGCAGGACCCTCTGATAAAAGTTCATACCACTTCCTGCTTTTCAAAGTCAGGACTCATTCAGGCTGTGTTGGAACTTGGCTTCAGATGGGCATGAAGTTGGGTCAGCTTTCTGCCCCATATAAGTCTCTTTCATTCCACATGTAGCTCCAGGAATGCCTCTTCTTAGGCTGCACTCCAGTATGTTGTCTATGCATAGCTGATGCCATGTTGTATGCAGAGAGGTTAGCATCTCCTTCTTTGTCTGTCTTGCTCTTGCCCATTCAGGTGTTGAAGATGCTTTCAGTTTCACCTCCAAAGTCATGACGGTCTCTCTGCACAAATTTTCACCGGGATTTTTCCCAGGCAAGTGATCTCTTGTTACACTGAGAATTCTTCCCTTCATTTCATCCATGATTCTCCTTCCATTATAGCTCTTCCCACCACCCCTCTCGAAGGTCCTCTGCTTCTGGTGAGGGAAATGGGATGCAGGAGCCCTAATGCATTTTGTAGTTTCTATTTTGTAACGTGCAGGAACATATGATGCTGCTTCTTTCTATACAGATATCTACAGCGTGTAAGAGGCAGGCCATTTCTTTAGCTGTCTGTTTTCCCTCGGATTTGCACCTGCCACTTTGGTTTTCCTGGGTAGTGTTCCCAGAGCTGAGTGTGTAGCTGCTGGTCCTTGGATTTATGTGTGATAACTTTTCCTCTGCCAAAGCCTCTCCTGGTTTTGCCAAATCAATTTCATTATGAAATATGAGGCGGCCTTAGGCCACTGGTTCATTCCTAAATGCAGAGGAGCACAGGATGTGTTCACCCACAGTTAGAATGATGCAGCACTGCAAAGAATGTCATGGTGGTGGTCTTACAGAGCTTTGGAGACTGCGTTGTCAGTACTATGGACCAGGGCAAGACAAGGGACTTAGAACACTGGGTGCCTAGAGAGACCATCCCAGATTCCAGAGGGTATGAGTGAGCTCTAGTGCTACCATTCTGTCTCATCCAAGCCCAGAAATCCTTATGCAAGCCCTTTGGGAACTGGCGGTATTCTCAGTCTAGTTAACTTGCCATCTCACTTTATTCAAGGTACTTGCAGAGCAAATGGTGGTAACCCTTTGTATATTTGACAAGGCAGAAGGCATTCTCTCTCTCTCCCTCTCCCTCTCTCTCTCTCTGTCTGTCTGTCTCATGTTCATCTGAGTCTGACATTCTCTTTTCTGTCTTGTACAGGAACAGGAGACGTGACTGATGTGGGCCTGGGGAAAGGGCGCTATTACAGTGTCAATGTGCCAATCCAGGATGGTGTCCAAGATGAGAGATACTATCAGATCTGTGAGACGTAAGAGTCAGAGAACCCTAGAGCTGGAAGCGGCCTTATAGGCCATCTAGTCCAAATTCCCTCCTCCCTCCCCACCCGTTGCAAAAAAATGCAAAGTTTGAATGTAATGGACAGATGTGTCCAGCCTCAGCATGAAGACCTCCAGTGAGAGAGTGCTCTCTCCATAATTGGTTCCATGTGTCAAACAGTTTCTGCTCATCTATGCAGTTTCCTCTGAGGCCATCAAAACAGGATGTGTCTCCTCCTTCAAAGTCTTCATCACCAGCTTTTCCTCTTCAGCAGGTCATTTATCTACCTCAACCCCCCTCTCCCCCTTACTTAATCCTTTGCCTGCCTGCCTAACTTTGGGGGATTGGCATCCTCTGCATTGCCCAGCATGCTGCTGGCGCTCAATCTGTGTTTCATAGCAAGCAGTATCTAGTCAGGAGGTGAGGGAGTTGTCCTGTCCAGCCCCACAAAAGAGAATATATTCCAGGTGAGTCTCTAGGATTGGCCTTGAACACTCCTAGATTCTGCCCGTGTGAGATTTTGTAAGACTTGCAACTCTTTGCTGCTCCCTAGGGGGTTTCTCAGCTTTTGGCTTTCACTGGAGAAATTTGAGAATTTGGCTTCTCCCTGGCCTGCCCTTATGGCCTCCCTCACTCTCCTTCCTTTGATGTACTTGAGTCACGTGACCTCTTTCCTCTAAATTCTCGGCAACAAAAAGGCACTTTATGCTGCTTGTTTCTGGGGGAAGAATGTTGACCTCAGTTTGCCAGCTCACAGTGAGAGACACACGTGAGGCACATTCTTGTTTGTGCCAGGGATTCTAATATGCAGGAAACCCAGAGTTCCATGTGGTGCTTAAAATGGCAAAGGACTCAGGGTGCCTGTTCATTGATGTTCAGTGATACAGCGTCTTAGTGCCCCTTCCAAAGGAGCATGCAAAGTAATAGTCTGTCTTCCTGCTTGCAGAGTGCTGAAGGAGGTCTACGTGGCATTTAGCCCTGAAGCTGTGGTCCTACAGTTGGGAGCTGATACTATTGCTGGTGACCCCATGTGCTCATTTAACATGACCCCTGTGGGTGTTGGCTGGTGCTTGAAGTACGTGCTGCAGTGGCAGCTGCCGACCCTCATTCTGGGAGGAGGTGAGTGGGGAGAGAGTCTACCTGGAAGCTTGGTTGCGATTCCTATGTAATGGCTAATGGGAAACGAGGGCATTGGCCACAATCCAGAAGGAAGTTCTATGCAGCTCTGTTGTTCAGCTCCCAGTCCTTTCAGTGGGACTTGCAGGGGAGAACTTCCTTCTGCATTGCGCCTCTGGTGCCCACTTCTCTGGTCCCTGAGCAGAGGGTGATTCCTGGCAGTTCTCTGTGGGATCCGTTTCCTTGGAGTCAGGGTTAGTTTTAGGGCAGGGGGCTGTCTTCAGGGATCGGCCTTTTGCCTCCACTGCTCATAGCCCCTATGCAGAATGAAGGGCTTTCAGATCAGAATAGGTAAACTTTTGGAGAGACCTGAGCCCATAAACCATTGGGACTTGCAGTTGACGTTGTTTAAATGTCCGAACCAAATTCTTGGGATCCCATGAGAGCTACCAAATTACAGACACTATATATTTGGTAGCTATATGAATATTTCAACCCTTCATTGTAGGTTGCTGAGGTGGTATCAGGTTTATTTCAGTCAGACTGACTTCCTAGTGCCTTTGCAGAATCCAGGTGGTACAAATACAGTTGTCATGCCTGTGTTTCTAGAGCTGAAAATGAAAACCCGTATTTATCTGGAGTACAAATGCAAAGGGATGTTCCTGCTTGCCACCCATTCCCATCATGACTGCCCGTCTTTCTGCCTCTTCCTGACTTGACATTCCTTCCTGGACACAGGCGGATACCATCTGGCCAACACTGCTCGCTGCTGGACGTATTTGACTGCGGTCATTCTAGGGAAAACGCTGTCTTCTGAGATCCCAGATCATGAGGTGAGGCTCTGATGTGCCCTCTCTTCCTCTGTGCACAAGAGCAGAGTCGTTCCAGGTCCTGGCCATTCAATACAGTCTTGTTGAGAAGCGATCTGATAACAGTAGCACACTGTTTCTGCAGCAGCAGACTGGCTGGTTCTAAAAAAAAATCCTGAGACAATCTGCATCCTTTTCCAGAGGTTTTCAAAAGCCAGTCAGATCCCCTGGGCTTCCCTGTTTACATAAAGAAACCTTTGGTATTAAAGATGGACTTAGACAAAAAACCTCAAGCATACGCTTCTTTGATTTAGGTCTGGGTCTTTTGTGCTGGGGTAGCATAGACAGTGAGGGCATAAGTAGATGCAAGAATGCTTTGTGTCCTGCAGTTTTTCAAATACTAAATAGTAGCAACATGAGGGTCCTAAATATGAGCTGGGGGAGGGGTTAATCTCTACTTGGTGGTGTTTTCCTGTTGTCAGCTGGCTATCCAGAAGAAGTCAAACATACAGGTTCTGTACAGCTTGCCCGCTGTCCCATTCATATCCTGCTTACTAGTATAATGGTATCTCCCTTGAACATTGAAATGTCAGAAATTAATATGATACCTACATTCAGGATACAATTCAGCATTTTCAGCTCAAACCCTTGCATCTATTTTCAGAGAAGGAAAATGCAAAATATATTGTCATTCAGATTCTGCTGAAATGCTGGGATGAAAGTTGGTTTGTACATTCATGGTACAGTGTTTTGTATCAAGTTCTGTCAGCAGCTTGATTTCTGCACCCTTTTTCAAAGGGGCCAGGAAAGTTGTAAAAAAAAAGCACTCAAATACGATGCCTGCAGGCGTCTCAATTGCACTTTCCCAGCTGAGAAGTCTGAATAGGCAAACTTTTACTGAAGACTCCCACATGCGATGGTTGCTCTCACTAAAAACAAAGGTGCAAACAGGTCTGCTCATGAGAAGGATACCAAGGGGTGATGGGCAGGGGAGATAATGCTGGGGGGCAGGAGGGATTGGGTTTTTCTCCCCCCCCCCCCGCATGGGGAGGGAAGCAGCCTTTTTGCCTTGACCATCAGGGATCCAGCTGGGATGAGAGAGGCAGACTGCGGGGCTTCATTTGCTTTCCCCCAAGACCTTCCTGTGCATTTTCCCCCGCTTCCACCTGCCAGAGATGGTGCAGCATTTCCCTTCTTTATCCTTTCTTCCCTTCGGGTCCCTTTTCAGTTCTTCACAGATTATGGCCCAGATTATGTGCTGGAAATCACACCAAGCTGCAGGCCGGACCGCAATGATCCTCAGAGAATCTGGGACATACTCAGCTGCGTAAAAGGTGAGGCCTCTAGCAGAACAGGCCCCTCCTTGCTGAGGGCGAAGGGGGAGACTGGGAAGCCCCTTGGGGAAGTTGCTGAGCTTGGCCTCTCCCTCCCCATTTGACCAAGCTGCGTTTCACACATGGGAGAAATCCACTGGGGTTGGAGTTCATGTTGGGCTCTCCACAGATACTGATGGAAGTGCTTCCCCCCCACACACACATCCAACAAAGCATTCTTGCATCCAGCAGCTTTTAAACAGCATTTAGTGCATAACTCCTTGTTGAACCCCCCTTTCCGGAGGCTATCTCTGCTGTGAATGGGATGCATTTCTAACTGTGACCGCTAAGAATTGGAGGAAGGGGGTCTCTGGCACCAGAATAAAATGATGCAGATCAGCCCTTCAAACCCTTGTCACTGTCTTTGTTGATAGAATGCGGGCTTTCAAGTGCAGAAGCCTTTAAAACTTCTGTCTGTTTCACCCAGAGAGCAGCTTTGGGTGGCAGGGGGCTCTCAGGGCCAAGCTGCACCCAACACTGGGGGACCTGTATTCAGACACCCAGACATGCCAAAAGCATCTTTGGGGTCCCTGATCTCTATTGGCCCCATAGCATTGGGGAAGAGGGGTTTAAATCTTCTCACCCCCTTTTGTACCTCAGTGGTGTGGTCTCCATTCAAATCCCCACTCCCAGTTGCTTTCAGCTCCCGGTGGAAAGAACAGACAAAATATGGGTAGCTGACTTCCGTCTCTGCTAGGGCATAAAACAATTTGGGAGGGGCGTGTGAACCCTTCTTCCCTAATGCTGCAACCCAGGTTTGTCCCCCCTCTCCTCCCCCAGTGGCTGCACTCTGTGGGGAAAATGCCATAAGTAATTTGGCCCTCCAAGTTCCCTCTCTGTGTGACCTTCCCCCCCTCCCCATTGTGGTTGACTGAGCCTTTACCTCCAGGCTGAAGAAGGGCTTATGTGGATGTTGCTCTGTTTGCAGGGAATCTGAAGCATGTGGTTTAGGAGGAAAAGGAGAGCTTTTCATGCCACCTCTCCTGGGCCAGACTGATTGCAAATGGTGCGTTTTGCTGCCGCCAGGGGACTTTGGAAGAAGATGCTGCCACCCCACTGCTCCAGGGACTCTACATGACCATTGATGCTGTTGTCTTGACAACCCACTTCTTAAAAAGTAGTAGTATTATTGGGGGGGGAAGGCTTGTTATGATGGTTTTTAAGCCAGTTAGGCTGCATTTCCATGTGTGGTTTTGGTGCTCAGTTTTTTACCTTGTGGGGACCACTGATACAGCTTGCCTGGCTAATGGCAAAGGTGTGCTATACCACTAGGGATGAGAGAGTGGGGCCTTAGGCCTTCTGCCTCTTGGATTGCCTGCCTCCTCACCAGTGGGAGAGAAGTAGCTTTTAAAAAACTGTTTGAATTTAAAATAAAGTATTTGATATATTTGCTGACTGGCTTCTTGCATGATCCTTGAGAGGCTCTACTGATTTCCGCCGTATCACAGTGGGCTCGGCACAGCCCCCCTTTGCTTTCTTTCAGCTATGTAGAAGGCATACAGATTTCCCAGTTTCCATAGCAACCCACACATCTATGTTAGATAATCTTTTTCATTGTGCAGCGTTGTGGGTGGGGGGCATGGAGGGCACAGAGTCCTGGTGGCAGGGACAGAGAGACCCTGGGAACACCCACTGAAGCTCCCAGCCCCCCTTCAGTCCATTTGAGATGAGGCAGGTCTTACAGGGGGTGTGGCACCCCTAACCACCTCGGGCCACGTTTGAACCTGGCTCCAAGGTTTATTTTATTTACTTCATTTGTAATCCACCGATCTCATTGGGACTCAAGGTGGGTTAAAGAATTAGGCAAGAGTGTTTAAAAGGTCAGGCCTAATATATACAACCAATAATTCAGAATAGGTGGGGTCCCTACTGTTGTCTGAAGATCACCCCTTCACTCATGGCACTCCTATTTTGAGGATGCTGGTTGCTGGTATATCTCCAAGTTCAGTGCAAGGTGCTGGTCATTGCCTTTTGAAGCTCTCCATGGCAGGGGCCCACATTCTTGAAGGGACCATCTCTCTCAGTACTGAATCCTTGTAGCACCTTCAGTCTTTCCAGCAGTCTCTCTTGTCCATTTCCTTGGTTCAAGCAAGTAAAATCCACTGCAGGCCATTAGGAATGCTCCCACCCTTCTGTCCTTTAGGAAGCTCTGCTAGGTGAACTCATTAGGAGGCCATTTGAAGATGCATACTGATGCTGTTTTGTGTCTGGATTTGTTTCTAGCTTCTTACAATGTGGAACTGTGCATTTTTGGTACATTGGTTTGGATCCTATTTTGGAAGAAAAGTAGGCTATACATTTTTGGGAGGTGGTGCAAATTTGCACTTTCCTTCCCCATACTTACTTTTGAAAGAAATTTCAATTGTTGGGGGGAAATGGAAGATTGCAGATTGATCCAGTCAGTGTTTTCACTCCATCTCAGCTAGTTCCCCTCCTTACTTGCAACACCCTTCTCATGCAGCTTTCCTCTCACATGCAGGTCCCATGAACACCAGCATAGCATTGGGGGGAGGGGTGGGTCAAAGATGACACATTTTCCCCCTTTTCACCTTTGGAATAGCTGGTTGGATCCCACCTCTGAGTTTTTGAAGGGGGCCAGTTTTTGAAGTGCATATTGTAGTTGCCTGAGTTTACTGGTATTTATACAATAAAAATTTACTGTGGTGGGTGGTCCTAGTTATTTGCAAGCCTGATAGGGAAATCCGGCTAAAGCAAACACACAGGGAGCCAGTCCTTAAGCTTGTACACAATGCATTTTATTTGGAGTGTGTGCGTGCGTGTGTGTGGGCATTCTAGCTATGGCAGGTGCTCAGAGGGGAGGATGGGTTTCCGTGGCTGAGGCAGAGGGGGAAAGTGGGAATCCTGCTTCCACCTCTTCCTTGGTTCTTCTCACATCTGATAGTTATGCGTCCCTCTTCCTGCTCTCGTTCCTTTTATTTCAGCAGAGTAGTTTCCAAGCAGACTGAGCCCTTAATGAAGACATTATCATGCAGAAGGAGAATAAAAATCTCCCTCCCACAGAGAAACACACCAGTATACTAATTTCCAGTGATTGCTTCCACTGCTGCCTCCTTTCTGCCATGGGATTCTGGGGGTTAAATTTGTACCAAGCAAGAGCTGCACCCAACACCCTCTAAACCAATGAATTCTGAAACAAATTCTGAAACACACACACACACCTTTTTTAACTAAGATCTAGTCCGATGAATAGTTTGGGGGATTTAAGAACATAAGAACATAAGAGATGCCAATGTTGGATCAGGCCAAAGGCCCATCCAGTCCAACACTGTATCATACAGTGGCCAGAAATACCAGTGCCATCAGGAGGTCCAGCAGTGGGGCCAGGACATTAGAAGCCATCCCACTGTTGACCCCCCCAAGCACCAAGATGACAGAGCATCACTTGCCCCAGAGTCCCTATCTATACCTTGTGGCTAATAGCCACTGATGGACCTCTGGACCTCAGAGATTTAAAACTTGCTTGGTGTTCTAGAGTATTTTGGTTGGTTATAACAAAAAGATATGACACGACTGTTGTTTTTGGAATTTTACTATTGGCTTACCTACAATTGTTTGAATGTAGAGGCCATGGGTTTCAGTTGTTAGCTGTTATCACCCCCATAAGCAGACAATGGGGTCCATCAATCCATCCCTGTGGTGCCAACTATGGCCAAGCAGATGCTGCTGGACACTCCGATTTATGGCGACCAGCCCAGATATGCAGGACATGGAGATTCTAATATCTTGAAAAGCGTCTTCCCTGTGAGGTTCCCGATGAATTACCAATGAACGTGAAAGATTGTAGCGATACCGGTACACAGAAACAGCCCTGATTGTGGCGGTGGCCGCTAGGTGGCGCTGCTCACTATCCTCTCCACCTTGGTCTTAGTGGTTCGTTCGAGGCCGCCATAGGTTGACTATCGGGGAGGATATCCGCCTCGGAACGGAAGTGGCGGCCCTTTTCCCGGCAGAGCGCGGCCATGGTGAGTATGTGTCAAGCGATTCTCTTCTCTTGGGATCGGTCGCCATCCGCGGCGTTGCCCAGAGCGAGGCGACTCCGGATGCATCCTAAGCAGGGGGCGACTGTTTCCCACTCGGGGTTGCCGATATGGGGTGGGGGCGTCTTTTGTCTCCAGCACTGTGAAGGGCTCTGGCTGCGGGGCCTAGAATCGGACAGTAGCCTCTTTTCCCACCCCCAGATGGCCTTGAATGCGTACAGAAGCTTAGGTGAGCCCTTGGGCCGGTTGGGGTTCACTTCCAAAGGACTGGATTAGGGGCGAGGCAGAATCTGTGATATTTCAGCGGTAAAGGATGCGGAGAACTCATTCCTTATCCCTGTTCTAGGTTGAACGTTGCGGGGGTGGGAGAGTCCAATTCATTTTCCTAGCAGCAGCTTTATCAGGTGGGGTTGGTAAAGATCCCGAACTTTTTACGCTACATAATGTAGTGTAAGGGGAGTATGGACTAGAGTCTGGGAGTCCTGGGCTCAGATCCTGCCTCTGATGCAACCCTCACTTGGTGAAAATCCAGTCACTCTTTTTACTTCATAGGATTATCGAGAGGGTGGTGAAGACGTTCGATACCACCCTGAGCTTTTCAGAGAAAGCATGGGCTAAAAATAGATACAATTATCTGCATATGGTGAAGTGGGATGTGGCTGAGGCTCACAAAACTTGTGCTGTAAAAATGTTTTCGGTTTCAGGGCACTGTAAGGCCATTTGTTACTTTTGCTGCTACTCAAGAATTACACTGCCTCTGTGATGTAATTGGGGCTGCAAGAGGCATTTTCTTTCATCAAAACAAAAGTGTAACTTGTGTCTTCTGATTCTCTTAGGCTCGTGGACCCAAGAAGCACCTGAAGCGCGTGGCAGCTCCAAAGCACTGGATGCTGGATAAACTGACGGGAGTCTTTGTAAGGACACTGCATGCGTCGCTTTGCCTTTCTTTGCAAGGGGGGGGGGATCAATTTGGGTTGCATTCTGCTCTTTGGAAACTTGGTGCTCTTTTCATTGATCCTCCCTGGGGTTGCTTCTTCATTGTCTTATGTCATTGTTGCAAACGAAGTCCAGTTGGGGCAGTTTCTCAGACTGGAGGTCACTGCTGAGCTATGCTGGTCTTAAACCTGCATTTGTGGATTTCATTGTTAACTGTATGTGAGAGGGGGGGTGTCATTGGGACCTACTGTAATTGTGAAGGAAACTTTGGTCCAGTACTGGGCAGTGATTCTGAGAGATTTATTTGTTAATTAAAATATTCACACTCTGCCTCTTCTGTGGGTTCAAGATGGCTTGGGTAGCTGTAGTTGTAATTAATGTTTTGTCTCTGGGCATGATGTTGATGTCTGGAGCTTTATTCTACTCGTTTGAAAGATGCAATCTGGGGTCTGAATCTGTTGTTCCACATTTTTGCAAATCTAAATGTTTCTGTTTGCAGATAAGTGTTACGTAGTTAGACCTTGAGAGTGGGAGAGAGACTGAAAGGCTGTTTTATGGTTTGTTACAAACTTGGCTATGTGGGTGGTCAATTCATGCACGTTGTGGGTTGAATGTGTGTGTGTTCGTTAAGATTTCTGTCTCCATAATTTTTTTTAAATAAAGTTGGTAGGATACATATAGGCAGCATGTGATTTGAGTCTTTGGAAGGGTAAACAGCTATTTGGTTACTTTTCTGTATACTCAGTTTGGGTAGACCCTGTGGAGCAAATCTAGTTTGATCTTTGTTTTCTTGTAAGGAAAGCTGTAGTTTATCTATATATCTAATAGTGACATGTGGCCTCCACCTGTAGATATCTAAAACTACAGATCAGGACCACACCAACGCTAAATGTATTTTTCTGCAAACTTGGGGTACTCCCCAGGTTTGTAGAAAAACCTGAAAGCTTAAAAAAACATGGCAGTAAACTCCAGGAGTGGCTAAGTGACCAGGAGCAGCTCCAGTTCCAGCCGCAGTGGTGGTGAACAGCAGGAGAGGCTCCAGCCATGGCAGCAGAGCACCCTGGGAGCAGCTCCAGGCCTGATTACATTGCAGAGAAGTCCAGGAGAGGCTCCGGGGCCAGCAGTGGTGGCTGAGGATACCAGAAGCTGCTCCAGGCTCACAGCAGCTTTCAGGCACTGTGCCACTGGGCATCAAGTGGAGGGGTGGGGGAAGAGATGGGATTCTCCCCCTCCATGTGTTTTGCAGGCCTCCCACTTGTGAACATCTGTTTTCTGCAGAATTACTGCCCTTCACTCTTATAGTTGTAGAGGCAAGAGGGCTTACTAGCAGCATTATGCTCATGTTCCTACTAAAACTGAGACTGAGGCAGACCTGGAGTGTATATTAGGGTACATTGTAGTGTCCACTTAGGAAGCTAGTACAGGCTGACATTTGAGAGAAGATTGCATTTGTGAACTTTGAAGAGGCAACTCCCAGTGATTTAGAAATGGAGAACCTGTTGGAATGTTCTTACATGAAGTGTCGTGGCTGAGCTCTAAATTCTTGAACTTAGTACACTGTGAAGGAGCTTAGTAGAGGAGTACTTTAACCAGTTCCTTTGGAGAGAGGAGAGGGGGTATCCTTGTGGAGGAGTTCTTGTCCCAGGCCAGCTTTATGAATTCCTTGCTTTTGGGAGGTAGTTTTGCTGGAATATGATAGCTTGCTCATGACTGTCCATGGCCTTTATGTTTCTAGGCACCTCGTCCATCAACAGGTCCCCACAAACTAAGGGAGTGCCTCCCACTCATCATCTTCCTTAGGAACAGGCTGAAGTATGCCCTGACTGGTGATGAAGTCAAGAAGATCTGCATGCAGAGATTTATCAAGATCGATGGCAAAGTCCGCACAGATATCACCTACCCTGCTGGCTTCATGGGTGAGCAGAGACTGAACTCTGGATCAGTAAAGGGGTAGTGGAATTGGGGCAGGGAGGGAGCACACTTTCCCCCTGGACTGCTATGATAGCTGCTGATTTGGGGCATATGTTCACGACCACCAGTGCACACATTTGGCTAAAGAAGGAAGGCATCCAGCTTAGTTAGAAAAACTGTCAACAGCTTCATTCCGTGTTGCAGATCTGATTGTGAATAAGGTATTTGGCTTAACGGCAGGTAGTGGAGTGAAGCTTCCATAACTGCCACATAACACATCTGGCCTGCTGTGGCACTGTGCATCCGCTTCTGGGAAGGGCGAGCTATAAATGTGAATAAATAAATAAATAAAATGCATCAGTAATCTTGGTTTTTTCCAAAAAAACATGATGCTTCTGATTGTCAACACTGGCTGGTGTCTGTGAAACCTTACTTAGTTTTTAGACTTGTTGTGGCAGCTGGGTTCCTCAAGCTGTTTGGCAGGAGCTTCAGCAGAAGATTCTGCAAAAACTTTCCTTCAGTCCTGTAGGGGTGCCTCTGCCTTTCTGCAGCTTAGCCTGGCTGATGAATTGGCAAGAGTTTCCTTCTTCTGGAGGTGTGCTGTATTCTGCATGGGTTTTCTAAATGTGTGTTGTGTCAAAGCCATTACAACGTATCAACTTTCTGAAGGGGAGAGGACCTGGAGGGGTATGTTTTGCTGACTGTTTTTAACTTTTACTTTTTGTCAGATGTAATCAGCATTGAGAAGACTGCAGAGCACTTCCGCCTCGTTTATGACACAAAAGGCCGCTTTGCTGTTCACCGAATCACCCCAGAAGAGGCTAAGGTACATCCTTATTCTTGTCAGTGCTTGGGATGGTTTGGCAGCTGTGGAATGCAAGTGTCTGGGTGCGTCTAGCCATTTTGCCATGTCTAAAGGTGGCGAGTTTGCAGGAAAGAGCTTGGCTTGCCCTGTGGATTGTTGGTAGTCCTCCAAATTGACAATTTTTGGAGCTATTAGGGGATACAGTCGTTTGTGCAAAACCTTTTATCAAATCTCTGGGTCATGCTTGCCAACCGTAAAAAGTGGGAGCCCCGTCATTGGCAGAAAGAGTTGTCTTCCTAAATGAACAGTGGAGCAGTGTTAAAAATTACAAAAAGCGGGCAGCCGGAGTACCCTGCCTAGGGATGGGGTCTTCCTGCACAAGAATCTGCTTGCTACAATCATCCCCGTGGCTTGTCTTTGCAGTACAAGCTGTGCAAGGTGAGGAAGATCTTTGTAGGTACCAAGGGAATCCCTCACCTTGTGACTCACGATGCCAGGACCATCCGCTACCCAGACCCCCTCATCAAGGTGAATGACACCATCCAGATTGAGCTGGAGACGGGCAAGATCACAGACTTCATTAAGTTTGACACAGGTTTGTTTCGCGGTCTTGTTGAGGGCGATTCCCCGGTTGAGGGCAACTGGCAGAAGATCAGGACTGTTGGTCTTTGAGCAACAGCTGGGAAGCGTTGTCTTAGGGAAAAAACTTGCGGCGGGGGGTTGGCTGGCTGGCTGCCTGCAATCTGAGTCATGTGCCAGCCTGAGTAGAAGGCAGCAAGTAGTCGAAGGCTGAGGACATGGGGCGGTGGGGAGGCTGGAAAGATGCTGTGACTGCTGGCTGGATTTAGTCTTTGCTTTAAGAAAATGGGGCTCTGTGCCAAGGAGGTTCTGATAATTTACTTACCTCCCCCACCCCAGGTAACTTGTGCATGGTGACTGGTGGGGCTAACTTGGGTCGTATTGGTGTGATCACCAACCGGGAGAGACATCCTGGTTCGTTTGATGTCGTTCACGTGAAGGACGCAAATGGCAACAGCTTTGCTACCAGGTTGTCCAACATCTTTGTTATTGGCAAGGTAAGAGGCTTTTCAGGAGGGGCGGGGGGGGGAGGGCTTTGGGCTGTTACCTACTTGGTTCCATAGGCTTGGCTGCCACAGAACTGGTCTGCTGTGGGGCTGCATTTTGTAGTGCCTGCCAGAGGTCCTTCTGAGCTCAGTGGATGTGCTTCCAGCCTCTATGTAGCCAGCAGGAATGGGGAGGGGAATCCACAGGAGTGCTTATTCTCCTGTTGGGAGAGCGGTTGTTGATATTCTGTATGGTCTGTCTTCAATCTTAGCGACGAGGGTAAATCTTGCGCTTCTCTAAGAAGGGAGGGGCAGGGGCAGTGGTTCCAGATTGTGACTTCTCACCTTGTTGCTTTAGGGTAACAAGCCGTGGATCTCTCTTCCTCGCGGAAAGGGAATCCGTCTCACCATTGCCGAAGAGAGAGACAAGAGGCTGGCAGCCAAACAGAGCAGTGGCTGAGCCCCTGGAATGCTGGCACAGAGACCCACCCAAAGCTCCTTTGACAAATAAAACCTTTTCCAAATATTGCTTGAGACCTTTCTTCCCTCTCCCCTGACATTCTGGTATTGATTTGGGACAGAATCCCCTCAAACGGTAAAACTGGCTGCTGGACTTTCGGTTAGAAGAGGCTGATGTTTCAGTCAGTTAGAAAAACTGAATCTTCCTTCACTGCTGTGAGGTAAGGCCAATCAAGGGCTGCGTCTTCCACTACTGAGAATCAGTGTCACCAGTGGTGTCTAAGGTAGGGTCCAGTCTACAGATCTGACTGTATTTTGCCGATCATGGTGGATCCCAGGCTACACAAAGGCTAGGTAACCTGTAGCATATTAGACCGTTTTCCTTGGCAAATACAGAAATGAAGGCAAGCTCCGTAGGCACTGGCAATGCCCTTGGGCATAGTGGCACAGGACAAGGTGACAGATGTGGCTTATTTAATTTATACCTCTGCCATTCTTCCGAGTGGAGCCCAAAAACACTTTACATTGTTCTCCTCTCCACTGTATCAGCACAACAGTCCTGTGAGGTAGGTGAGGCTTTGTGTGTGTGACTGGCCTAAGGTCTCCCAGCAAGCCGTCATACAAAAGTAGGGATTCATACCTTGGTCTCCCAGATCCTAGGAAGTATAATGTTTGGCAAAGTATAGTGCTTGTGTGTGTGTGTGTCCCATTTGACAGCACAGTCTTCACAGGTAGGTGTAATTTTTTTTTTAAGGCATTTGGGCCATAGAAGCTGTCTACTCCTTGGTCACACTTGCCTTCCTCGTCTGTAGAGGCCTGTGTTCTCTTGCTTTAGCTATAGCCGCAGCGTAGAAAGGGCTGCTGTTTGGGAACTGCTAGAGGCTGTGTCAGCGTAGGTAGCCCCAGTATGCCTGCTTATTAGAGATGGCCCTGCTTGCTCTCCCCTCTTCCCGTGCCTGACCCTTAGCTATCTCCTCACAGCTGGATGTGAGACCTTCACAGAAATGCTGTTCAGACGACCACTGCCTGTCTGACAGGACTGATTATCCAACAATGAAAAGTGTCCAGAGTTTTATTTATGAAAGGGTTGGGGACAAGAGTATGTGAGGAAGTTTCACTTTAGAGTTTCTCTCTACTGGGAAAAGGCAGTGATCTAGGGGCACATAAGATGCCAAAGGTATGGGAGTTAGGCAAAGGAATCAAGTTGATTGCTGGGAACCTTCATTGGTTGGAATGCAGCAGTGTGATTGTTGGCTGCCGCTGACAGATCAGAGTCACTTTGAATAATATCCTATAAAAATGGGAGATGCATTGGGGGGGGGGGGGTTGCCAAGCTATCCGTGCCACTAAGAATTCTAGGCAACATCTCTTGACGAGCCACACTCTTCAGAGTGGGATTTCTATACCTCTGGGATACAAACTGGGAGGGAAGTGCTGTTGTAGGGTCCAGTGTTAGTCACTGGCCCCCACAGTGGGGGGGGGGTTTGAGGTCAGGTGATGCCATCACTCTGAGAGCCTCTTGGGGGGGTGTGAGGTTTGTTCCAGAGAAATTAGGGTGGGCTGTGCAGCTCTGTCCACAGCAGCAAAACAGTGTTGCCCCTCCTAACCAGCTCCAGCTGCTGGCATGTGATCGACTGACTACCCATGGGGTGCCCGAACTTGCATTCCTCCATGCTCCATTCCTCTAGGTGCTTTCCAGGTCCAGGCTCTGGAGCAAGTAACAAGTGTCCAGGTGGGTGGAGTCCCACGGGTGCTCAGTTGCAGGGTGCGAGCCTTTGCAGAGCAAGCTGTTTTCCTCACTTCTGTAGCTGCTGTCCTCACCTGTAAAGAAGAACAGTCTAGTTAAAGTAGTGCTTCTCTATGGGACCCTGACTGTTTAGCTGTCCAGGTGCGAACAGAAGGCAAGGGAGATGCAAGCAATGGCCACTCCTGGAGAGAGGCATAACAGATTGATTTGAGGGCTCGGCTGCAGTGAGTGGAGTGAGTAAAGTAAAGGAGAACCCAGATGGATGTGATGAGGTACAGCTAAGGGTTTCCCCCCCTTTTTGTAGGGAGGGGATCAGAGGTGACTGGAATGAAGCTATCTATGTGGAACAAGGTGTCTCTTTGAAGTAATATCTCTGCCCAGTACAAACATGGAGTTCCTTGCCCACCTTACCTCTGTACTGCCACAGCTTGTTCAGAGGGGAGGAGGACTTGGCCTCCTGCGAACTACACAGGAGGTCATTCTCTGCTGTCTCCAGGCCTTCCTCCGAGTCCTCAAAGTCCTCAGGATAACTGGTCAGTCCCCATTCATCCTCGGAGTCTGCAGGAATAACAGGACAGTTTATTGGCACCAGTGAGCAAAAGAGGAAGGATAAGACTTAGTGGGTATCCTAAGAGTGCCCCCCTCCCTTACTATTCAGCAATCTACTCCCCTGCATATGAGAGAAGAAACTTAATTAGATTGCAGTGGGTACACCTATGCTGCTAACATCTGGGAGTGCAACGTCTGGGATTGCTTGGGAGAACTGCCTCTGCTAGGTATTTAAATGGAGGGGAATCCCTCAACCTGTAATGCTCCCTCTAAGCTGTGGAGTCTTGTGAGCAAAAATTCTATTTTGCGAGCCACTGGCATTAGTTGCGAGCTAACAATTTGGCTACTGCATAAATTAGTTTGCTCTGGAGCCATCCTTCCTGAGCGAAGACAAAAATGTGTGAGCCGGAGGCTAAACTCACACTCGGAGGGAACACTGGTTCCAACAGCCCTGAGCCTGCTTCGCGGGGAGGGTGGGGTATAAATCCAATAAATAAATAATGGTCAAAGGGAAGCAACACAGATAGGGCTTGACCTGACAGTACTCTGACTGAGAAAGCAAGGCTTCTGTCTCCCAGTTTCCTGGCCTGAAAGCTTCGTCGTATCTTGGGAATCCCTGAAGAGAGACAGGCAGGAGCCATGGATGGGTCCAGTAGCAAAAGCCTAGAGAACCAGAGTGCTGTTGAGGACTTGCCCACAACAGAATCGCAGCACGATTTAGCCTAAAAGTAGTAGTATTCTGTACAATTGGATGAGAGACAATTTCATGTGATGCCCAGCAAAATTCTGAGTTTTTTTTTTAAAGATGTCAGTTGACATGTGAAGCCAGGGTGGTATAGAAACTGGAGTGTCAGGCTAGGATCTGGGAGACCCAGGTTTGGATCCCAGCTCTGCCACAGCAGCTTGTTGACTTTGGCTGGTCACTCTCAGCCTAACCTAACTCGCAGGGTTGACTTATTCTAAGGATAAAATGGGGAAGGATGCTTTAAACTGCTTTGGGTCACCACTGACAAGAAAAAGGAGCAGGGGAATGCATTGGCAGGAATCATCAACGTTTGCAGGAAAGCACTTTGATTCTTGATTACTTTGGCTTCAAGAGGGAATTGGATAAACATATGGAGCAGAGGTCCATCACTGGCTATTAGCCACAAGGTATAGATAGAAACTTTCGGTCTGGGGCACGTGATGCACTGTATTCTTGGTAGTTTGGGGGGCGGGGAACAGTGGGAGGGCTTCTAGTGTCCTGGCCCCACTGGTGGACCTTCTGACGGCACCTGATATTTTTGGCCACCGTGTGACAGAGTGTTGGACTGAATGGGCCACTGGCCTGATCCAACATTGGCTACTCTTATGTTTCCAGGCCATGTGGGCTGCCTTGCTTTCCCTTCCTCTCTCTGTGATGTGTTGGTCCATTCCTTCACCCACCCTTACCAGTCTCAGTGGGTGTCTCCGTGGTCTTGGTAGCGTCCTCATCTGAACTGCTGAAAGAGGAAGTGCTTGTGTTTTCAAAGTCTTCTGAGTAATCAGAACTACTGCTTGGGGTGCTGGAGATGTCATCTGGGCCATGGTGTTCAGTGTGCTGCTGGTGAGAACAAAGGGAGCTGGATACTACCATGGGGTCTGTGTCACCCGCATAGCCCAGTGGCCCTGTCTGATGCAGTCCACGTGGGCTGAGCCGACTGCCGTCTCCATCATGTGATGCTTCCAGATGCGGTTTGTTCAGGAGTTGGATTTCTTGATGGAGAAGGAAGAGTCTGAGGTGCTCCTGAACATACGGGATGTTGAGGATGGCGCCAGCAGTGGGCCTCTCCTCTGGGCTCTTTTGTAGGATAACTTGGACCAAGCTGTGCAGAGGTTCTGAGTAACACTCTGGGACAGGAGCATAATCCTCTTTCACAATCTTGTTAAATAAGCCGCCCAAACTGAAGCCAGTAAAGGGGGGCTTCAGTGCGCACAGCTCAAAAAGAACGCAGCCCAATGCCCAGACGTCAGCTTTGGAACTGTAGGGCACGTCTCTGCAGAGCTCGGGGCTCAGGTAATAAGGTGTGCCCACAAAAGTGCTTGACATGTCCATTGTGCTGTCCATGACCTTGGAGATGCCAAAGTCCCCCAGTTTCAGGATCTGTGTCTTTGTGAGGAATGCGTTGGACGCCTTGATGTCTCGATGCAGGATCTTCAAAGAATGGATGTACTGGACAGCTGTGGTCAGCTGCACAAACCACTTCATGATGGTGGCCTCTAGGAAGTAGCCCTCTTTCTTCATCCTGATGTGCTCGTCCAGGGACCCACCGTCACAGTAGTCTTGGATGATGAAGACGTGCTCCTGGTCTGCGTCAAAGAAATGGTCATGGCACGCCACCACGTGGGGATGCTGCAGGGTACTCAGGATGGCCACTTCCTGCAACACCGCTTCCTTGCTCTGCAGCCTCTTACTGGGGTTCATCTTGACCTTCTTCACGGCAAACAGCTGCTTCGTCCTCATGTTCCTCATGAGAAAGACCTCCGCACTTGCACCCTGGCCAATCCTGAAGATTTTCTCGTAGTTCTCCATTCTCCCTAGGGGAAACACCACGTCAGGTGACCATGGTTAGGCGCCACCCCCACTGTCCCATTGCCTCCCCCCTCTGTGCTATTGGCCTTGAGGAGGGAAGGAAGGAGGACAGGTGGGTGGGGGAAGCAGGGGGAGGGGGCCTCCAGAAGGAGGAGCTTTTTATGCCATCCTCTTGACTTTGGCTTGGACCAGAGTGGGAGCATGGGGGCTGATGTCACTGGCTGAGGACAGAGATCCTGGGGCAAGTACTACATCATAGAAGGGACTATGACACTGGGACCCCAGTGTTTCCTGGGCTGCTGTGGCAAGGCTGCTGCCACTGGGGTAGGGAAGCAGTATAAGAGGCCTGTTTGTCTTTTGGAATTGTGGGTGTGACTCTTTTCAGCACATAAGATTAAATGAACATCTGCTTGAGTAATGCAGAAAGCATCTGGAGCAGCCCTGATTGTAAACAGCACTAGAGGGGCATTTGGTTTGCTCCTGCAATGCAATTCCAGGATTTACAAAAATCAACAGTCAACAAGGTGGGGCTTTCTATACTTAATGCATTAGGATATTAGAGGACTGGAAACCACCAGAAAGAACAGGAGCATAGCAAAAGTGTTAATATGACATATTAAGCAATACAGACATTACATACTAGGATCCTGTTTACAATATGCTACATATAGCAGAAAAGGCCACAAGTCCTGACCATTTATCCAGATAGGTTTGTAAAACCATTTTGTGCTGTGTAGCCTTATTACCTGTGCTGAAAAGCCCTCTTGAATAGTTCAGTTTTGCATGGTCTGCAGAAGGCCAGGAGTGGGGGAGCTTTCCTGACCTCAGGCAGGCCATTCCACAAAGTGGGAGCCCCAGTGGAGAAAAGCACGCATATGGGCAGTTGCTGATTTTGCCCATCTGCAGAAACCCCTGCGGACATCAGTGCAGTTGTCGTGGCACAGCATAGAGACAGAGGTGCTCCGGTATCATCTCAGAATGTCACAAAGGGCAGGAAAGTTCTACTGCAGCCAAATGAAAGGGTTTCAGGCATTTAGTTCTATCCTGCATTCTCAGTTCCACAAGGAAGCTTATAACATCCTTCTTTTTAATATGGAACCTCAAAAATTATGCTGTATATCTTCCACAAAAAGCTACAGGCCATAATTCCAGAAATCTGTAAGGCCACAGAAAGTGTGGGGGGTGAGCCATAATCAAAAGACTCTATTTAAAAAGGTAAAGGTTTCCCTTGCTGGAACGCTAGTTGAAAGCAGCCTCAAAATCTTGGGGTGGCGTGTGGGAAAGGACTGTACTTCCCTGAAACCTGAAGCTCACCCACTGTGAAGCCAACTTCCGGCATTGTTATCACCACTCACCCAGTTTAGAGAGTTTTTTGGAGATCCAAACAAACCACATTGGTTCTTGCCATCCTGAATTTTTTGCCTTGATACACAACTTCACTGTTAATTCCATCTCCAAGATACTAATCCCTGTAGAAACCTAGGGCCAGGGGAGGAAACCCTGGGTCACTCTGCTCATATCTGGCTGGTGATGCCAACAGTGGGAATAGGCACACTTTGTGCCAACTTTCATCTCTGGCATTGCTGGCCAGGTCTGAGCAGTCGCCCTTGCAGTACTAGCAAAGCTACTAGGGCTCAGCTCTGCTTGTCCTCCATGGCAGACCCCACCCCAAAGGGGAATGGCCTGCCCGAACTTTCCATTCCCTCCCATTCTCTGCTTCTGTGCGGGAAGAAAGATGGGCTGTGAATGCCAGGATCAGCATAGGGTCGCCAGCCTCCAGGTGGGGCCTGGAGATCTCCCGCTTTTACAACTGATCTCCAGAGATCAGCTCCCCTGGAGAAAATGGCCGCTTTGAAGGGTGGCTTCTATAGTATTGGACCATGCTGAGGCCCCTTCCCCTCCCCAAATCCCACCCTCTCCTGGATCCACCGCCAAAGCCTTCCAGGTATTTTCCAACCCAGACCTGGCAATCCTACTCACCTTCCAAGCTGTGGAAAGCTGCACGAGTCACGCCGCTACCAAAGACGCAAGAGCAGGCCCAGCTGGTTACCCTGAGCAGTTGGCAACCCTGCTCTGCAAGCCCAGTGTCGTGCTGCGTGCTCGCATCCTACTGTACCTCCTGCGTCGGGAGGAAGCCGACGCAGCAGTTCCTTGGGCTCCGGAGACGTTCATAAAGCGACGATGGGCGACGAAGCGGTGCGCGCACAGGGGGGCGGTCTGAGGCAGGAAGCTGGCGGTCTGAGGAAGGCCCCTCTGGCTGCCTCCACCTGGCTGGGCCTGCCGGAGAGCCGCGAAGCTTGGCTGGCCTTGAGTGCGTCTCTATGGCAACGCAGCTCCGCTCCCGGGACTCACTCGCTCGCTCCAAGGCGAGACGCTCTGCAGCTCGAACGAGAGAAGGGAGGCGGCGGGGGTGGGAGTGGAATCGCCTCGGAGGAGGAGGGCTTCACTCGGCATTAACACCGCCCACCCCATTCGGCTCTATTTTTACTCCGGGCCTCTTCAACGGCTGGAGAAGCACAGGCGAGCCTGTCAAGCTGGGCTGTGATGCTCCTCTGCGTTTAAATTGAAACCAGTCCATGTGCACGCCTCCAGCCCGGGGAGAGGAAGCGCTGAAGCGCTGGGTGCACCCCCTCTGGCTGGCCACCCGAGGGCGCTGTTCCCCCGCCGATACGGGACCAGAGCCCGGGACGGGAGGGCGGGGCTGCAGATGTTCCCCGGTGTTTTTTTCCCTCCAGGCAGGCCAGGGTACATTGTGTTCGCCTGTAGTCCTGGGAAAGCAGCTGTGCTTCTGGGATCGCTCCTATCTGGCAAGGGGCATTGGGAGGGCCGAAGGATGCTCAACCCTCCGAGCCGGAAGGGCCGTTTCCTCCTGCTCATGTCGGCATTTTCCTAAATATCTCCAGTCCAGGCAGGAACAGATAGCAGGGAGCAAAGAGAGGCAGCAAAGCGAGGGGGGAAGGGTTTCCTACCTCACGGGTCCCCTGGTCTTTTCACCGCTGTATTTATTTATTTGTGATTTGATTTAGATCCCGTCCTACCCCACAAATGGGCTCCGGGTGGCTCACAACATATAAATATAATAAATTAAAAGATTAAAACATAATGCAATAAAATTTAAACTTCAGCTGTATGTATGCATAGATCAGCAGTTGGTGATAATCCAATTTAATCCCCGCCAATTTATATATAAAAATGCCTGTACATAGCACGGTAAACAAGATGGATGGGTGGGTGGGTGGGTAGGGCGAGGGGGCTGATCTCGTATGGTGTCCGCCACCTCAACCAAAGTCCTGGTGGAACAGCTCCGTTTTACAGTCCCTGCGGAAGAGTTATAAATTCTGCAGGGCCCTGATCTCAATTGGAAGGCTGTTCCACCAGGCTGGAGCCAGAGCAAAAAAGGCTTTGGCTCTGGTCAAGGCTAAGCAGACATCCTTTGGGTCATGGATCACCAGTAGATGTTGATCTGAGGAGGACAAGGCTCTTCAGGGGACATAGTGGGAGAGAGAGTACTGCAGATATGATGGTCCCGGTCCACAAAGGGATTTAAAGGTCAGTACCAGGGCTTTTTTTGTAGAAAAAGCCCAGCAGGAACTCATTAGCATAATAGCCACACCCAACAGCAGAAACTCATTAGCATATTAGGCCACACCCTATGCCTTTCCTTTGGTTTGCCCAGGTGCCCCGCAGCTGCAGGGAGCCCGGGCAAGCCAGCCCTTGGACAGACCACAGAAGGCACTCCCCGATCCTTCCAGGGCCCCCCTGGCCCGCCTGCCTTGGAGTCACCGGGGGAGGATCGCTCTCCAGGACTTCCCTCTGTAGCCACACATGCAGAAGTTTGGCTGTAGTGGGTGTGGCCAGCTCTGAAGCCAGCCGGAACTCCGTTCCTGTGCGTTCCTGCCCAAAAATAGCCCCAAAATAGCCCTGGTCAGTACCAAAACCTTGAACTTGATCTGGTGCTCCAGTGGAAGCCAGTGCAGCTGGCACAGCACAGCCTGTATATGTGTTCATTCTGAAGTCCCAGTAAGGACACGCACAGCTGCATTTTGAACCAGCTGGAGTGTCCGGATCAGTCTCAAGGGTAGCTCTGCATAGAGCCAGTTACAGTAATCCAACCTGGAGGTGACCCACGGATGACAGGCAGAAAGTTAATGGGAAACTAATTCTGTATTGCAAGGCAGCTTGTCACGTTTCTGCCTGCAGAAGGCAGCCCTGGAAGCAAGAATAGGCCTGCAGGCTGTTGGGACACTTGGCAGATGATGCCCACGTGTGTTGGGACTAGATAGTGAGCCAAATAGTGGGCACCATTCCTCTGGAAGCACTGCATCCTCCAAGGACGTGGAATCTGACCCTGGCCACTCCTCAGGCAGGGCCTTGAAGATAACAGGCTGTTTCTTAGGAGCCAGGCAGGGAGAAAGTTCACTCACCCCAAAGCAAAACAGGTGAAGGAGAAATCTCGTGTTGTCCTTGCCGAGGAAATGGTACAAGCTGTGCTGCTGCAGACCTTGTGAGAGACACATGGTGGTGAGAGTGTTTGATGTGGGCCACCGTAGGATGAGGCACATCACTTCCAGTGCATACTTGGGCAAGGCAACTTCCCACCAGCAGACCCCAAAGATCTAGTTGTTAAACAAGATAGAGGTGAAAAGCAAAAGGCCATGGTGGAGGGGGGGGGGGGGGGGGGGGAAATGGAAGCACGAAAGATCTTGAGAGCCAGTTTGGTGTAGTGGTTAAGTGTGCGGACTCTAACCTGGGAGAACCGGGTTTGATTCCCCACTCCTTCACTCGCACCTGCTGGATGACCTTGGGCAAGGCATAGTTCTGATAAGAGCTGTTCTCGAAAAAAAAGAGCAGTTTCTGTCAAGAGCTCTCTCAGCCCCACCTATCTCACAGGGTGTCTGTTGTGGGGAGGGGAAGGGAAAGGAGTTTGTAAGCCGCTCTGAGACACCTTTGGGTAGTGAAGGGCGGGGTATAAATCCCTCCTCCTCCTCCTCCTCCTCTTC